AAAAACAAAAACAAAAAAAAAAAAAAAAAAAAAAAAAAAGATCAAGTTCACCTGACCGAAGACTAGTATTCTGCTCCTGTGCAAAAGTTTACATAGTTTATGTAAATATTATCCTCTAAGTCTCAAGTCATGTAAGATACATTGCCTTCCTCTCTCACAGCAATATATCTCTTCAGTAAAGATGCTATTGTGGGCTTACTTGGCCTCTAGGCATTGCTCTCTCTTCCTTTTCTCAGTAAAATTTGTGACATACAAGGTTATAATACAGCATGATCTGAGCAGCTTAAATTTTAGAAACTATTATAGCAGGCCCAAACAATTAAGCCAGAATCCCTCAAAGTAGTTCTTAAGCACTGCCCTTTTTTTTTCTTTTTCTTCAACACACACATAAACACACACACACGAGACTCTCAAGACTGATGGCGGGGGGTGGGCAGGCTGGGGATTTGGCTCAGCGGCACAGCGCCTGCCTGGCAAGCGCAAGGTCATGAGTTCAATTCCCAGTACCAGAAAAAAAACAAACAAACAAAAAAGACTGAGGGGGATAAAAAGACAAGCTCAACAATCCAAGTTACTTAATATGACATATCTGATCTCTATGCCCTATCCCTTGCCGAGGAAATCATGAGTCCAGGATACCAAACTGCTGTGTTACCTGTTTCATTACAGCATATATTTCCCGATCCTTTGTTCCTACTGTCCTCTCTAGGATCTTTACCTACTTCACTCAAAGACTGTAAAATGTCTGTAAATTCCTTTTGATCACCACTACAATGATTTTCACAGGAGAGGGTTAAGACCTGCTGATATTATTACTTAAAAGTCCTATCCTGCAATAACATGGACAGAACCAGAAATCAGCATGTTAAGTAAGGTGGGCACAAAAAAATAAGCACGACATAATCTGTCTCATATGTGTAATAAAAAGGTTTATCTCATAAAAACTGAGAACAGAATGAGGTTAGGAAAGGTTGAGGAGAGTGAAGGGATGGAAGCATGAGGGCGGCTGGTCAATGTGTTCACAGAAGAAAGAAGCCTGGTGTGCTATTAAACACAAAGGCAACCACAGATAACAATAACGTACTGTACACTGCAAGAAGCTACAAGGATTTTTAATGTTTCTCCAAAAAGAAGTAACTGAGCAGATATGTTTACCCTAATTTTAACAGTACACATTATATGTACTAACATCACATTATATATAATTATGTGTATGAATTAAAAATTATTTTAAAATTTAAAAAGTCTTATACCATAAATATAAGAATGAAAATTAATAAAGAAAATCCCTAGAGCTGTTCAGTTATTTGAATACATGTTATGAAAAATTGCAAGTGCTATACTGTTGGATTATTAATAAAAGTATTTTACTGGATTATCGATAAAAAAATACAGGAAAACACCAACAAAGACGTATGCAAAAATATCCACATTAGGGTGTCACAAGTTACAGGTTGCAAGTTGTTAAATACCTGATCAAAAAGTTGTTTCCCAGTTGTATTAGGCTGAATGGCAAATTCCAACTCAGCGTCCATTGTAGTTACTCTTACATTGATCTGCAATAAAAACAAAAGGGACAATCATTAGGAAAGAGAATATACTTTTTAAATAGCAAGGATGAAAAACTATTTTTCTGATTCATATTTTCTTTATTAAAGTGATACAAATTGATTTGTCACAGGAAATCTTCAATCTGTTTGAAAAACAAAAAGATTATGAAGTCCTCATTGAAAAACATCTCATTACTAAATTCTTAACCCACACTGGGGCGCTGGACTTTCTGTGCTCTCATTTGTCCTTTGTAACAATACTAGAAGATACTGTTTGTCTCTATGGAAACTCAAAATGTCCCCATTACTTGCCCAAGGACACAGTTATTAAACAACAGAGCAGGTATTTAATTCCTAATGTCACTCACTATTTCTTGTTTCTTTCAGTATAAAATCTACTATTTAGTTTTATAAATAATCTACTATTTATATATTTTTATAAATAAATCTACTATTTAGTTTTATACTGCAAATGTATTCTTCACTTTATAAAAGACATTTTTCTAAAACCCTTTTACTTGCTAGATTATATTTTAAAAATTTTCTTGTGTAAATACAATTCTAATGAGGTATCTTAAAAACCTAACATGCCTTAGCAAAATAATTTTTAGCCCACAACCGCATTTTTACCTGGAATCCCTCATGATGTAGCCCAAATCTATTTGGTACCTTTAAAATATAAAAACTCTAGACTCTTTATTTCCATTTATGTATCTTAGTCATTGTAACAACTACCTCAGCATACATTATGGCTTTTACCTACAATATGAATCAAATCTTACAGACTCATCCTCCTTTGAAATAATATCTTACTGGAAAAAGATACAAAGCAATACATGTATCTATATAAAAATGAAACAATACAACAAAATGCATAAATCTAACATCCAATTTAACTAGAAACAACAAATATGGTTGTATATACTGATTTGTCTGTGAAGTTCTTGTGAATTTCCCTAACTTCAAGTCCCCCACAGGGAAGCCCCAACATGTATCTGTGTTTTTTATTCTCTTGCTTCTTTAAAACAGCAGTTCTATCACAAATATTAGTACCTATAAATAAAATTTTGATTTTTTCAGCTATAATTGCAAGTACTTGCAAATGTCTTTATTGATACAAATGATTACATATGCATATTACTTTATGAAAATTTATCAATTATACTTTTGACACATTCTCTATTTTAATTATAATTATCAACACAGAAATTATACAATATATATAATTCACTCATATATTCTTTTGATATGAACATTCTACTTCAACAGTTTTCAGAAAATGCAACAGTCTTGATTTTTCAAAATTTTATTTCTAAGATTCAATGATGTTTTTGTGAATTTTATATGCCCATTCTCCTGTCAATGGATACTATATCTACTGCTATGAACATTCCTGTACATGTCTCCTAGCGCATATAGGACTTCCTCTAGGGTTAAGGGTATATTCAGAATTCCTAGATGCATACCTCTTACTTGAACCTTATGAGGTGACATTATCTTACATTATATCAACTTACATTCCTATTAGCAGTGTATAAGAATTCTTACTCATCTCTATGTTCCGTATATGCTGATTTCTTACTGTTTGACAATACAGTAGGTATAAATTATTATCAATACAGTCTTAAAGTGTGGATCACTGACTGGTGATGAGTTTGATGAACTTTTTATAGAACAATGTTACACAGCATACACAATTTGAAAATGATCCTCATAGGTTCATGATGTGAATGAAAGATATATTCCTGTCTGCTTCCTCACTGTCTCCTCACCGCCATGGGGTAAGCAGCTGTCCTCTAACCATGTGCTTCCATCATGCTAGTTCTGCCTTGAAGCCAGCCAACCATGGACTGAACCCTTTGAAAATGTAAAAAGAAGGAAGGAGGAAGGGAGGGAGGGAAGGAGGGAAGGACAAAAGAACCTCTCCATCAAGTTGTTGGTGGGTTTTGGATATTCTGTCCCAGCAACAGGAAAATGACTAACAAAAGACACTGAAATCTAAATTTCCTATAATATTCATGTATTATGAAATATTTTTCAATCACTGAAAACGTAAGAAAATCATTCTCAGCTCATGGTAGTACAAAAACAATTGTCTCCCCTCATTTGGATTGTGAACCATAATCTGCAACTCCCAATATAAACAATCTTAAAACTTTCAAATAGTGTTTCTTCCTTTCCATTTCTTAAAATGATTTCTTTTTCCTGTACAATAGGCCTCTTATTCAATGTTCAGCAGCAACAGAGACAGTGTAACTTTTGTTTCTGATTTTAGAAGGACTATTTCCACCATTAACACATTCAAAACAGTTTTTACTGTAGGTTTCCTTTTGTACCTAGCTTAAGAGATGACAGTTTTTATTTTTTTTGAATCATGAGTGGTGACTCAATTTTAACAACTGATTTTTCTCAATTTATCATCATTTTTCTCCATTAAACTAATCACGTAGACTTCTGGGAAGATGGCAAAATGGTGAGCAGCAGAGAAACAGCCTCTCCCATATTTGGAATCTAAACGCTGGAATATATAGCAACATGAGGAAGATAATGAGAAGGAAAGTGGACACCAGGGACCCGGAAAGGATGCGATGTGAGAATTAGAGCCCACAGGCAGAACAAAGAGAGGAACCACAACACAAAAGAGAGGATGATGGCAAATGGCACTTTCTCCCTGAGCCTGGCTCTCAGCAAGGGGCTCTCAGCGTGGGAGGAGTAGCCCAAACCTGCAGAAGCACAGTGACAACTGGAGACCACACAGGCCACCATGGAGAAACACAACAATGGAATGGAGCAGTGGATGAAGTGGACTACAGTGGCTGGTGAGTTATTCGGGTTCAGATACTCAGAATAATGTAAGATTGATCAGAATCAATGAAAAAGCAGAATATAGAACAAACAACAAAAAACCTGCTCACAGAAGTCAAGGCAGAAAACTTTGGAAGCATGGAAAGAGAATCTGACGTACAGATAAATGAGCCACACAGAACTCCAATTATGAATGATCAAGAAAAAAAACCTACCCCAAGGCACATAACAGTAGAAATTCTACAAATTCAACACAATAACAGTGTTAAAAGCTGTTAGTGAAAATAAATCACCTATAAAGGAAAGCCCATCAGAATTACACAAAACTTCTCAACACAAACCCTTAAGTAAAGGAGAGCTTAGAGTGAAGTATTTCAAGCCTAAAACGAAACAACTTTCAACCAAGACTGATGTACACTTCAAAACTATCTTTGCAAACTGAAGGAGCAATACAATATTTCCATGACCAAGAACATGTGAAGAAATTCGAGGCCACCAAACCAGCACTTCTAAGTATGTCGAAGGACATTCCAGAAAGAGATAACAAAAAAAAAAAGAAAGAGATAACAAAGACAAAAAGCACAGAAACTCCAACAGAATGAATCTACCAGGGAAGGCAAGTAATTACAGGAGAAAGAAAGGGAAGCAACAACAGGAGAATAACATAACAAGGATAAGTCAATACATATCAGTTATAATCATGAATTTAATGTTCATAATTCACCAATCAAAAGAAACAGATGGCAGAATGGATCAAGAAATAAGATCCACCAATATGCTACATACAAGAAACAACTAGAAAACAAATTCATAGACTAAAAGTCAAAGGATAGAAAACAAATCTCCATGTGACAAGAACCCAGAAAAAAGCAGGGATAGCTATTCAATTTGCAAATAAAGTGGATTTCACGCTAAGACTCATCAAGAGATGAAGGAGGTCACTACATCCTTGTTAAGGGAATAATCCAAGAGGAAAAATAACAACCATAAATATATCTGCACCAAAAACCAGTGCAACCAACTATATAAAACAAATATGAATGGATATGAAAAGTGAAATAAGCACTAATACAATTACAATGGGAGACTTCATTACCCCACTGTTACAGACAGATCAACTAGACAAAAAAATCAACAATGAAATATTAGAATTGAACCAAACTTTTGAACAAATGGACTTAAATGTCTACAGTGTTCCACCCCACAACATCTAAGTCTACATGCTTCTCAGCTGTACATGGGACATTGTCCAAAATAAACCACATACTAGTTCATAGAACATGCTTAAGTAAATGCAAAGGAACTGAAATTACCTCATGCATTTTATCAGACCATAGGGCAAAGAAAATGGAAATCAATGGCAAAAAAAAGCCACAAGAACTTCATAAATACATGGAAATTAAATAACACTCTACTAAACAACAAATGGGTCACAGATAAATTAAAGAAGAAATTAGACAGTTTCTACAATTAAACAATAATGCCAATACAACATACTGGAACTTACAGGACACAATGAAAGCACTCCTATGAGGTAAATTTATAGTATTGAATACTCATATCAGGAAAACACAGCAAGCTCAGATGGACAATTTAATGCTGAACCTCAAGCTTCTAGATAAAGAGCAAGTTAAATCCAAAGCTCATATGAGGGAGGAAATTATAAAGATCAGAGCAGAAATTACTGCAATGGAGACAGAAAACAATACAAAGAATCAACAAAGCAAACAGCTGGTTCTCTGAAATGATTAAATAAAACTGATAAACCCTTAGTCAACCTTATCAAAAAAAGAAAAGACTCAAATCCATCCAACTAGGAATGAAAAGAGTGAAATCAAAGCAGATCCTGCAGAAATCCAGAAGATCATCTACACCTACTTCCAGAACCTGTATTCTTTGTGGGTTTCTTTTGGTACCAGGAATCAAACTCAAAACCTTGCATTTGCCAGGGAGGCAATGTGCTGCTGAGCTATATCCCTGGCCTGAGAACCTGTATTCTATTAAGATGGAAAACACAGATGAAATGGACAGATTTCTAGATACATATGAATTACCAAAGCTGACTCAAGAAGATACACAAATCTTAAATAACATAATATCTGTCAACGAACTTGAACAATTAAAAACCTACCAACAAAAAAAAGCTCAGGCCCTGGCAGATTCACTGATGAATTCTCTAAGAAATTTAGAGAAGACTTAGT